GGCCTCTCTTCCACACCTCCGTCCAGTTCCCACTGGAGTTTGTCTCCACTTTATCAGCCCTGGACAGCAGAACATCCAACTTCAGCTGGTCGCTACTTATTTCCGCATCATTTGCTTATTTATTTTCCACAAACAGAAACACAAATATATAGCTATAATAACACAGAACACAGGCACTCTTCAACAGTACGCAAATATGTGGAGCACGCTCTATATCACTTCATCATAAATAACCCGCACAAGAGCATGCATACCTAGTTCTGTCGTCAGCTAAGTCATGAAATTACCAAAAAGGCGATTAAAGCTGCAAACTGAGCATTTATACGCAGCACACAAGAACGTCTCTCAAATGCATGTACTAAAATATATTCTGCAATTCGAGATCCCAATATAAGGCACAAGCTGATATGCATATTTTATTTGTAATTTAATGCACAAATAAATGTGAGCACAGTGCACTTCTACTAGAAATTATGCGAAAATGAAACAATTTAAATGCATAAAATAACTCATTTTATATTCTGTCATTTATGTCTACTGTTGACTTTCGGCCTTTTTCACATTTTTATCACTATCTGCATCACGCCTCATTCATGAGTATGCCATGTTGGAGAGCAAGCATTTGGGAGTTTTGAGAAGCTGAACGAGCAATAAAGCTATAGCGAGCCCCTTTATTAAAATACCTGGAGGTGAGGAATAATACAAAAAGTGTCATATTCACTCAGTATCACTTGATCTAATTCACAAATATCTCAATTACAGTTAAGTAGAAATTAATTGTACTCAGTTGTGTTTTAGGCACTAAAACCGTCCAGTACATTATAGTCAAACACATTTTTATATTGAAATGATGAAGATTTCTGTGCCACCCCAGACTGGTTGCTGGCCCCTCTCTGGTCACCCCTATAAAAACATCCTGGCTCCGCCACTGCTCCTAACACTGCAGAACACAAGACCCAGGGGGCAACAGAAGCTTAGTTACATTCATAAACACAAGCATGCTTTGTATGTAGGCCTATACAATCCAAAAACTATAGTTATAAACATATATGGCTATATTCGTGAACAGAGAATATCCTATCACAGTAAAGTTTTGACTAATCATTCTTACTGACATTAGGCTAGTAACATTATAACTCATATTACTTTTATATCATATTTCTGTCTGTTATAGAACATAAAAACCATCCTGGCATCGTGACATTTAGATGCTGTGAATGAAACTTCATAATGTTTCACTTGATTATACATTTAGTCAGGAATTATAGTTTGGAGAAAAGTCTGACTAGTAAAATGTGTACAAGTTATGTGAAAACTAATACAAGTAGGTTAATAAAAAAGACTTACTCATGTTTATGATCACTGCTTACCAGGTCAAGAAAAATATGATCATATTACCCCAATTTTATCATCTCTACACTGGTTATTACTGACCTATAAGGCACTAAATGGTTTAGCTCCTGTATATTTAACTGATCTTCTTATGCCCTATAATCCATCACGCTCTTTAAATCACAAAACTCTGGACTTTTAGTAGTTTCTAGGATATCTAAGTCCACTAAAGGAGGGAGAGCATTTTCTCATCTGGCTCCTAAACTCTGGAATAGTCTTCCTGATGATGTCCGGGGCTCAAACACACTCGCTCTGTTTAGATCTAGATTAAAGACACATCTCTTCAGCCAAGCATTCACATAATGAATCTCAATCTCACCCTTGTTCCCAGTTACATCAGATAAAAGTCACAAACATATTTATTGCTTGAAACATTATGAACAGCAGCTACGCTAATTCTTTTCTATCAGTCTTTCTGTTTCTACTCCGGGATGCCCATCTCGAGATTACACCAGCTCCAGCCTGGATCCAGCCTCAAAGAAAGAGTTCAGACGACCCAACACCTGTGAAGAGATGATGCTGACCCCTGCGAGGACCCCCGATGACCCCAACTTGACTCGACATGCACAGCTGCCAAAAATCATTATGATCACACTTGTAATAATCGCTTTAATGAGCTTCTGCCTGAAATTAATTCATGTTAGCTAACTGTATGATTCTATTATCTTGAACTGTTCATTTGTGAGATCAACATTACTTGGACTCATTCACTTCTGCTTTGTAATGTAGACACATGCATTTTCTGTAAAGCTGCTTTGAAACAATATGTATTGTGAAACTGAGTAAACTGTGCAGGTGTGCAGGACATCTAATCACATCACTGCTTAAGTCTTTTACAATCTGATCATATTTTTAACACCGTAGGCATCTCACATTTATCGACTTTGTAAACGGTTACAGATTAAAACTAGATATCATCATGCACTAAATGACTGAAGACCACACACACCACAAGACACTCGATCTAAATGAACAAACTCAGCAGAAACATGTGCCTTGTTGCTAGGAGACACATGACAAACGTAAATAATATGTGTTCTAGAATCTTTTGATCTCCGTCTGGATGGAATCAGAGTCTGAAGATAAAAATATCAGGCCCATCATACACTACATGATTTCTGTTAAATCTGACTGACCAAAGTCTGAATAGCACTGAAGGCAAATACTGTCGCTTTAACTCCAGATTTCAAATCTTTACTTGTTATTTACTCTCAGGTCTGCAGAGGATTCTGCCAACATATGTCTGCAATATATTTGTAATTTACAGTGTGTGCACATTTGTACTCAACTTCTATCTCTGTTTGTTAACTGTATCTGCATTTAGTATTTACATAAAGAGGCCTTAAAGCTCTGGACTGGAGACCAATCCAAATTCATCAACTAGGAATTATTGTTTCTATTGAATCCTTTAACAGTAAAGTATTCATAATATAAACAGAAAACATGCATATCTGTGCCAAAATGTACATTTGTATATTTTGTAAATTTTTTCTGTTTAAATATGTTTATAGTTATATGTTGCTTTTGATCGTTTAATTGGGGATTTGCATTATTCTTTGTAAATCTGCTGTGAGAGTGTATATTAATCTATTTTTGTTAGAAACATTGGTGTTGTTTTGTATTTTTTTGTATGAATTAAATATTTGTACTATTTTCTTTTACTAAGTTCAGAAAAAAATGCTTTATTGATAATATTATTATAAAATATGTAGAGGATGTTGAATTAGTTTATCAGACTAAACAGCCTTTATGTGAAGCTGCATCAGATTGAGACACAATCAGTTCTATTTAATTATATGTTTATATTTATATGTTGCTTTTGTTTGCTTAATTGGGGATTTGCATTATTCTTTGTAAATCTGCTGTGAGAGTGTATATTAATCTATTTTTGTTAGAAACATTGGTGTTGTTTTGTATTTTTTTTGTATGAATTAAATATTTGTACTATTTTCTTTTACTAAGTTCAGAAAAAAAATGCTTTATTGATAATATTATTATAAAATATGTAGAGGATGTTTAATTAGTTTCAGACTAAACAGCCTTTATGTGAAGCTGCATCAGATTGAGACACAATCAGACTGAAATCTGCTCAAACTGTTGAGATCAGACTGAAATCATCAGAGATCTTGTTCAGATTAAACTTCAGCTGACTGTATCTGGACTCACACACTGTTTTCCGCCAAATGTCTATCTATGTAAGATATTAGATCTCACATCTTCTGACAGCTCAATCAGCTTTGATAGAATAACCAGCAGAAGGCAATAAACACCAATCATACTCCTTTAGTGGGAGGAGCCAATCATACTCCTCCTTTAGTGGGAGGAGCCAACCACACTCATCCTTTAGTGGGAGGAGCCAACCACACTCCTCCTTTAGTGGGAGGATCCAAACACACTCCTCTGAAAGACTCTGACCTGTGTGTGGGAATTATACTTGTGGTTTTGTTTTTACTCATATCTCGCTAAACAGCCAGAATATAAAACTCATGCAGAACTTTTACAATGTAAGTTTTTTTTATCCTTTTAAATATAAAGATTGTGTGTTTTTGTGTCATTATATCAATAGTTGTATTAATTTGTGAAATAGGGTTGCCTTCTAACCTGCTAATGATGTTAAGGAAATTTCAACATGTTTATCATTATGCAGATGATTATGATAATGAGTTTTATTAGTGGGGTTATTAATGTAATTATTAAAATGTTCTACATTGATTACTCAATGCAATCAAATGATTTCTACGTTGATGTGTGGATTGTTCGGTTACTCTGTCTGTTTGTGTCCATCAGGGTTTGACGGATCATGTTGACTCAGATGATTAAGAAATACACACACACACACACACACACACACACACACACAGACATTGATAATATTTATAAATATATATATATTTGGCGGGGGGGGGGGGCCAGTGCCCCCGTGTCAACAAACT